GAGATAATTTTAAAGAATGTAAATTGGTTAAATGATTTACACTATTAATATTTATTTATAGCAAGAAATTTATTTGTTTGTTTGGGGTATGGTTGGAGTCTCGCGAATCGGAATTCGCGACAACTTGTTGAAATCAGTGTTCTAAATACTTCAAGATTACCAGATATCTGTTGCTGAGAAATTACTGATGAAATTGAAAACACGGAACTGTCCTCAAACAAATCGAGTAAATTACTAAAGCCAAATTATTCTTGACAAGTAAAATTTGACTCAATTTTAAAAATTAGTTCCTTCAGGGAATTCAAAATCTGAACCACTTCAACCTCCAAATTTAAAAAATATAAGTTGTTTCATTTTTGAAATAAATCACCTTTCGAAAGAACTACTGACGGTTCAGTAGCGCATCAAAGCATTAAATAAAAACATTCTGAAAAAAGTTTCTCACAACTTCATCAGCCACTGTGACTGAAGAATGGTGTGATTCGAAGTACCAAATCCCACTTAATTTTTCAATGCTCTGCTTTGGGAGTTGCAAAATGCTATAAAATTTTTCTTAAAGCGATGGGTGAATCCCTCGACGGATTATCTGTCAATAAAAACTAAAATCTATGCAACTCAATTTGTTTCTCTCTTAAAGCAAGCTCATGAGCCCGAATACTTAACTTGAAAAGCTTCCATTTCATTTGATCTGTATCTCTTTCATTCCATTTCTTTTTTTTTTTCATTTTAGCATCGGAATACAACATTTGCCGATAGAACTACTCGAAATCGGCAGGTTTTCATGAATGTTGTCCAATCCCGGAAGCCTACTCCATCAATCACCATTTGGAATCCCTAATTTTTCTTCAGCTTAATTTCTCGATGCAACAGCAGTTGTACTAGTCTCAACCTATCAAAAGAATATTTAAGCTTGCTCATTATGTGTCTATCAATGTAACCATCGACTATTTCCAATTGTTTCTAAAATTTTGTGCAAGCAAGAAAGCTTTGGCGAAATGAAACGTGTTCTGTTCCCATTACGTGCTAAAATAAAATACGTCGTACTGAATACCCGGGCATATCACTTTCGAAATGCTGTAAAGAGACCAAAAGTTTGCGAGAATTTCCCAGGTATAAAAGATTGTTCCCACTGATTATTCCTTGATACAATAAAGGAAAATGAAAGCTCGATATTCCCATAAACAGCGTTCGAATATGTAAATAAGCCACTGCTATACATCACTTCAACTTAGTCAAGACTTTCCTAAGATACTTTGCTTCATTTTGAAAATTAGAATGGAACAAGTGCAAAACATAAATGGTGCTTTCAGAAATCGTTAAAGCAACACAAATCATTAAATACCAACAAATGGTTTTAATATCCTGTACGCTAGACAGGATGGCTAAAATTCTGGAGCTGTACAAGCAAAGTATTATTAGTAGTGTCATAGCCAGGATGTCTGTCTAGCTGAATGACTGAATGGTTCTGACGATCGAATTATAAAATTGCCTGACTTAATTTATTCAAGCACATTGCAAATAATCAATATGAAAAAAATATGTTCTGACGTGCAATCATCACTGTTAAATTGTCAAGCTCTGTCATTTTCTGAGAATGAAAAACAAATCAAGCGAAATGTTAAAATGAATCGATAGTTTTACGTGGAAGACCAAACACACGAACAGATATAGTTTATCCGTTTAAATTGATTCAATTTATTTCTACACTTAAGGGTGGATGTAGATATCTTCCCTGGCTCGACGGGTTTCTTTGAATACGTTGCTGCAATTACTGTATTCAAGTAAGCTAATTTTCTAGTAATTTTTGATTACCAGATCATAAAATGGGTAGTCATCTGCAACATTTCTAAATCAAAAAGTTCAATCACACAGTAAAAATAACTACAGCGATTATTCCCATTCCCAATAAATTCCCACGATTTCTTGGTTCGAAAATTATTGCTTCACTGCTCCTTCGCATGTTCGACATTTTGTCGTTATACTATTACCATAAAGACTAAGTAGGAACCCCATAGGTCGTGTTTTATCTCGTCTTAGAAGCCAAAAGCAGCTTGTGAAAAATCGATATAAACTAATAGAAAAAAAAAATGAAACCAAGCAGAGCCATTTTCCGGATTTTCCTTTTATTTGCACCAATCACGTTTATGTTTACACAGTGTCATTTTTTCCATGAAACAAAAGCACAAAATTAATAAAGTTACCGATTTAGTTAATAAAAATTAATGAAGGAAAATTAATAAAGCCATGATTAGATGGTCTCACCGAGCAATAACCTGACTTCGTTAAATTCTTAAACTAACAGGTTTCTGGAAAAAAGCTCATTATAATTTGTAAATAGCCTAGATGTTGAATTTGCTCAACGCCCAAATTATAACGAATGTTGAATTTCACACAATTTATCAGTCTGAACTTTCTTCCTAGCCTATAGTTATTGCTAATATCAAAAAACCAAAAAACCTCAATAAAGATTGTTGACGTCAAAATCATAAAACTAAAGATCTCAAATTATTGATCGAAATCAGTGTTCACTTCGTAGAGTGCTGACATCAAAATCGAAATACCTCCAAAAACTAATAATAAGGTGAGAGTCCTCACCAACTTCTAAATTTACTTCCGGAAATTTTCGAGAATTCCATTCCAGTGAAGATTGAATCAGAGCAAGCAGATCTTACATAAGCAGATCAATCGTTTAAACAGCAATTAAACAATAGTATCATGAAAAGAATTTGCAGATCTCAAGGACTGGAAATGAACGAAGGAAATGACACAGTAAATGCAGTCATGATTGGTAATTTTAATAATACAACCTTGCGGATACTTTGCAAATTCTGTGCATACTACCCTTTCTGCTGTATTGTTCTAGTTTTTGATTTCAAGCTTACCGTGAAATTGCGTTCTACCTATCTAGCTCATATTCAGATCCAATGGATCTGCGAGTTCTGCAACATCTGCAGGTTCCCAACAATCTCATAAGGGTATTAAGATCAAAAAAACAGGGTACTAATATCTTGATGTGTAGTAAGCAAAGTATCAAAGAATGAATGGTACTTCCTATGATGACATGTTTACGATGAAACTAAGTCACCAGGGCCTCTACATAATCCCACTAAAAATTGCCGTCAACTTTAAAATTTATAAAATCTTTGAATCTTCAGAAAAAAATAACACCACTATAACACGGTAAAAAAAAGAGCACGAATGCACAAGGAATACAGAATTGGCGGGAGGACGAGGGAAGAAAACATGCAGTACACTTAAGTGAGTTTTGGAAAAATAGAAACTATAACACAAACATGATCTAGCGAATCTGTCAACTTCGAATCCTAAATACTTTAAAAATATGTGTTGAGTGGTTATCTTACTATTCTGAAACACTGATCAGAGTGATTGCAGTAAGTTCTAATCCCAAGCTCCTTCATAACCACATTCTCTTGACCTATATAACCAATTACTCGATTTCATTCCCTTTCTCCGAAGTATTTAGTTTAGTTGTTTTAGGAAATACTTTAATAGTAACTCTCGGCTGCACGAAAACTTGGGCAAAACAGATTCAACAGCAAGGCAGGCTTACTAATCACGGAATGCTGATAAAAATCCTATGAAATGTAAACGTTTCAATTAAGTTATGAATGTCTGAGACGATCTGGAGGTATCAAACTAGATTCAGCGCTAAAGCGCCTCGGGAAAAAGAAAATGAGAATCTGCAAATATATATTTTTGGAAGTTTCTAACATAACACGTAAATGTTTAACCTGTTTTCTAAATATCCTTAACAATTCAGGCACACAAGTCCTACAGATGTTTTATGGCTATATTCATATCGCAGCCACAAAATACAAGCCTCACGTTAAATCTTAAAAGAACATTCACTGATTTCCCAGCCATGAAAGACCTTTGTTCCAGGAAAACCTAATGATCACAAATCTATGCAGAACCAGAGCATATTTCGCCTACATTACTTTTTTATTGCAATAAAAATTCACAAGCAACCTGAGACGCTTTCTATATGTGACAGTGAAGATAATGATCATTCAACTGATAATATTAATTCAAAGATCCACGACATCCCGGTGCTCCACACAGACAATCAATTTTATCCTCTTCAATCGGGAATTTATAGTCGTATGTTATTTCATCGCCTTTATTAATTGCCAACTTGCTGTAGATAACGATGCGTTTTTCGCCATCTACTACAACAATTTTTGCATAGCAGTTTGGTTGGCATGAATGATTTATGAATCGTGCCAAATTTCCCATTTGCGTAGCATCGATGACCTGCAAAATCGTCAATCAAAGAAAAAGTCAAGTTTGGACCACAAATATAAACTATAGAACTCTTTGAGAGAGTGGTTTCTAAATAGAACTGCTCTCGACATCAATATAACAATTTACAACTGCTTTGCTATCCTTCCTTAGTGTATCAAATCATACTCAGACTTTGTGTAATGCCGTAAATACTATGTGCTTATAAGTAGCTAAATTATCTAGAAAATGACAACAAATTTTAAGGCGAGCCACCTTACATTATCAGAATCAATACGGAACAAATAGCTCGAACCCATGCCACGTCTCTCATAACGTTTTTCGCGTTCATCTGCCACTGTCGGTCGTATTTTTTGTCCGATATACTCGACTATCATCTCATCCGGAGCGATTGCTTCCAACGCATACAAACCCCAACCGTGAATACGAGAACGAGCAAATTTGATTAGCTTTTTACGAAACTGAAAAATTTTTAAATACAAAAATAATGGGAAAAACCGAAGTATAAACATTGAAATTACTTTCATTTGTTTATTAAACGTGTATACCAAACATGAATATGCCGTACGTGTAATTTAGCAAACGTTTCAGGCTGGGTTTTAGGCCACAATACTTAATTTCTGATCCAAACCTATGGCTGTTATAGACATTATAACTTTTGAAGCACGACTTCTGGACAGCCTATCAGAAGTCTCGAGTTGAGCACTTGAAAACAAGATCTTAAGGACAAGAAATTTACTTGACAACTAACAAGAAAACTTAGTCATCTTTGTATATCGCAAATATATCGATTCAGAACTTTGAAAGTTTACTTCAATTAAAACAATAATGCTATAGAGCCTTACTCATTTCAGTTTCAGTCCCTTAGTCAAGAATCAAGGGGATCATTTCCTTAGCTACTCTGCTCTTTCTTTCATCATCTATGTACTGTTCATTAGATTGGCTTCTGCAGTTCTCATACTAGATGTTAATTCTCTTTCAATAACTACAATTCATTACGAATGCAAACATATATAACAACTTCAGAAGAGAGACTGAATACTCTTCAAACCTACAACAACAGCAAATATCGGCAATACTAAACAAACTGCTCCCACATTATCTAGAAGTATTCTATGTATTAACATAAAATTCAAAACCACTAGTTTAAATATGGTCTTTTATTTTTAAAATGATGGAGGTTTTTTTCAAACTTTTTAAATAATGCAAGTATTTCTCAAGCATTTGTTAATGAAATAGTTTCAAATTCATCAACAAATGCCTGAGAAAGTTTTCTTTCAAAACAGAATTGAAATAGAATTCAAATGATTTACTTTCAGCTGGTTAACTTTGAATATATCCGACGAGGTATCACCCATCGATGTCAATAAACGACGATTCATGCTTCGTGCTTCTCGCGTGGATTGCACCAAATACCGAGCTTTTTCATCATCCTTTAAATGTAACAAAAGCAATTTTACTCATTAAAAAACTTTAGTAAGCTAATAACATTCTGGAAATGTTGAAAAATTTATTTTTCTGAAAAATTTATTATTCTGGAAATAATATGCAAAGTCGCACCGTATCTTTATTAAACTGTATCCTTTGTTTTTTAATAAAACATTTTGATGATCGCTATAAGAAAGTGAAACATTATGCAGAAGATAAATGAGATCAAAAACATATAAAATGAACTGTGTTCATTTTATATGTTTTTGATCTCATTTATTCAGTTTAATATAATTACAATTTCTCGTAAATTATAGTGGTACATACTTATTAGATATGATACTTGAATCACAGACCTTTTCATTTATTTCGGTTAAGAAAACATCCGGTCGTCGTAGAATACCTCTTTTTTCCTTGTGGGATAATTTATAATAACCTTCTGTACGGGCACATCCCGACGAATGAGGTATTACACCTTCTAGCTGTAGCAAAATAGGATAAACATATAAATGCACGTACAGCATTCCAATCTTCAGGAGCTCTGTACTTAACCATTCTTCCTACATTTCATAAAAAAATACAGAAATTACCTCTGGGTCGTCGTAATAATAAATGTTTTTTCCAGTTTTCTTTGGTTTATCCTATAAAAAGAATATTCAGAAATAGAAAAAATAAAAACATACTGTTCTGTATTGTCGAATGAAAAATTTCCTATAGTTGCACGATAAAGTAGCAAATCCGACTTAACTCCATTTAGTGTATTTAGTAATTTCTAACCAACAGATGGACTTCTGGCACTTTTCTCGGTGGTACCCAATACAATTTTCTATTCCATGTTGCTGTTCCATCATTCTGCATCTCGTGAAATGCTTTTTCCAAGAACATCAAATCTTCTGCATCCAGGCCTTCCTTGAAAGTGGAAATTCTCGAGACCGTGTGATTTTGAAGAGGAAATAAAATGCCTAGTTAAAATCTTACTTCTTGTAACAACCACGCTATTCCTCTTCCCTAAATTTTATCTATATATCAATAATAAAGTTTAAAAAAGTCTTTCAAAAATTTTCGAAAATTCAAGAAAAAAACTTCGAAATTCAAATGAAACCAACTTTTTCAAATTTCCAGAAGATCTTTTTTTCTTCTTCAGGAGTTCGTTTCTCCCAATGTTTTGCAGGTTTCCTAACCTATTTCCCCATGCAAGTCGTTCCACGTCAACGGGTGGTGGAAGTAGCGAAGCAAGTTCATTTCGATAGCATCGTTTCTTCACTTTT